ATATTGGTAGTTTTTATTAGTTTCAAAACTGAGAGTAAAAAAGTTTTACCCTCTCAAAATCTCCGGTGACATAAAACACACACGCAGATTAGATTAATTCTGGAGTTAATAGTTATTTTTCCCCCTCAAACGGGCAAGTGTCGATCGATGAGAGATAAAATCTATCACAAAATTCGAAGAAAGGGTTTACTTACATGGTAGGGAGCACCAAAGTGATAGTGGATTAATTATTCATTCTTCACGAAACTTTGGAATACCCTTTCCAAAGATTGCGTTAGTAAATATATTGGCGGTATTTGGGAAAATTTGAAAATTTTTAATTAATTTTCTAAGTTTCTGACAGTACGCCATGTGCAAGGGACTAGAAATTGGTGATTATCAACTCTCTACTACGTACGCTGTTTAAACTTTGCAGGCGTCTTGGTTGTTTCATTGTCGTTCAATGTGGCCTTTTCAACAACAACAAAAAAAAAAAAAAAAGTATTCAGCAGAAATTAAAAAAAAAATAATTGTTATGATATATGATCACATGTAAATGTAATATAGCTAAGGAGGAGAGAAGAGTTGCATATATTTCTATAGCAAACGGCCAGAAAAAGTTATGTTGTTATATATTGTTATATCAGAACGCGGAACATAAAGTATGTCCTTTAAAAAATGTATTTTAACAAATTATTGACTTTTTTTATGGCTTATATATATAGCGCCAACGAGTATATATTGATCACCTAAATTATAAATGAACTAAAAATAAAAAGATGAGGACCATGTGAATGTGTGTGTGCATGTGGTTCATGAGTATTTATCTAATTATATAATTTTGTACCCTCGAGATATTGACCATATACAGCTAGATTTATCCCATAACCTTGCAAGATATTGGAAACGTGAAATAAATGTATTTGGAATCCAAAGTAAATATATTATTTTCTTTCATTTTATAATATAAAACATTATTCGAGATCTTTGGACTTGATAACAATTTCTTAAATAGTTATCTTTTTTTTTTTTTGTGCTGAAGAATTTTTTTAAGGTCGTAATTCGATGTATTTAACAAAAGCGCATTGTATGATAGGGTACAAAAATATTTCGTAGACATTGTGCAGTAATTATACTCATATATAAAAACTAAATGCAATTGTTTTAATTAGCTTACCAAAGAATTCTTTAAAACAAATATCAGATGTAGCAAATATGATATGGTGTGAACTGAGATGTATATTTTAGTATAAATGAGAAATTAAGAAACTGATCTTGCTGAATTATGTCTTGGAATATATGAAGTGATTGAGTAAACTAACGAGGAAAATGTAAAAGAACGTGTACAGTACTGTCAGTTTATATTTTTTTGCCAGTTCTTAATTAATTAATGCAGCTACGAGACGGGCCACTTGCATTAAGTTATTAATAAAACTTTACATATATATAGACAATCATATACAATTATACATATCGCTAGCTCATCTCTTTGTTCAAGATTAACCCGATCGAGTAATTTAAAGGATATAAGTACAAAAAACCTGTAACCTTTTTTTTTTTTTTTTTTTTTTTTTTTTTTGCTCTGTTTCTGTTTTTTCTTTAAAAAAAAAGTAGTTAAATATATATTTTTGGCTTTACTAGAGAAAACACTTACCCTTTGAGTGAACATCGGAAAAACTAGCCGCACATTTTGTTAATATTCTTTACGTGTCATTAGATTGTACTAGTAGAATTAATCGTTTGTTAGGGTTAAGTGTCTTTGTATACCAAAAACGGTCATTAGAGTTGCATATATTTCTATAACAAACGGCCAGAAAAGGTAATGTTGTTATATCAGAACGTGATTTAACAAATTACTGACTTTCTTTGTGGCTTATATTATTACGGAAGAAAAACGATTTTGGACAGAGAAGAAAATATATTCTCATTACTCTGGAATAACAGAAGACAAGCTTATATATACACAAGTAGTAAGCTTAATAAGAAGCTTATATTACAAGATTAATAAAAATTAACTACGAAGTATTCCTAAAATATATATATATATATATATTGATCACCTAAATTATAAATGAACTAAACCAAAAAGATGATAACCATGATATACAGTATACATATAATCTTGCTCGATATACATGACATATATATAATAATATAATCTTGCTCGATATATACAATTTTCAATAAATGTATTTAGAATTCCAAAGTATTCACTTTCTTTAGGCTCCAGTATTAATGAGCTTTCTTCCATTTTAAAATAGTTTGAATGCATGTTCACCACTAAAAATAATATTTTCTTCGATTTTAATATAACATTACCTGAGCTCCTTGTGCTTAATTACTGACAATTTTAAAATAATTTTATTACAGTGGAGTTTTTTTTTTTTTTAAATAAGGATTATTTAACTAAAGAGCACTAGATTAATAATTACCCTCTGAACAGGCAAATCTTGATGGGTGATAATTTTATCTTTTGAAGAGTTTAAAGTCCAATCACAAAATTAGTTCGAAGAAAGAACCATATCGTAGGGCACATCAAAGTGACCAAATTATGGTAACATATCAATCCAGAAACAAAGAGATTACAGTCCATCATCAAACATTGTCAGGACCAAAGCAGACGCCAAAATAAGGGCTAGGAAAATTAATGTGAGTGACAACAGAGATGAAGCATATTGTGAGCACTGCATTCTTAATTGGCAACAACAATTCAAATGAATGGGATGCTGTCGCATATCATTAGAACGACAAGTCACAATTCGGCCATTTTAAACTCAACCGAATATTCCAGCAAAAAAAAAAAGACTGTTTGTATGCATTATTCAAAAAAACGTGCTTATAGTAGTTTAAACATAAATGAGAAAATGAGAAACAGAACACGACGTGTGTTCTTAATATTTAATTTTTTTGAGTTTGTGTCCATGTGAATCTGCGTGTGCATGTGGTTCATGGGTATAGATCTAATTAAATAATTTAATTTGTACCCTCGAGATATTGACCATATACAGCTAGATTTATGCCATAACCTTGCTATTTGGAATCCAAAGTAAATATAATATTTTCTTTGATTTTATAATATAAAACATTATTCGAGATCTTTGGACTTGATAACAATTTCTTAAATAGTTATCTTTTTTTTTTTTTTTTTGCGCTGAAGAATTTTTTAAGGTCGTAATCCTATTCGATGTATTTAACAAAAGAGCATTGTATGATAGGGTACAAAAACATTTCGTAGATATTGTGCAGTAATCATACTCATATATAATAATTAAAATAAAAATTACAATTGTTTTAATCTTACCAAAGAATCCTTTAAAACAAATATCAGATGTAGTAAATAAAATATGGTGTGAACTGAGATGTATATTTTAATATAAATGAGAAATGAAGAAACTGATCTTGTTGAATTATGTCTTGGAATATATGAAGTGAATGAGTAAACTAAGGAGAAAAATGTAAAAGAACGCGTACACTGTCAGTTTATAATTTTTTTTTTTTGCCAGTTCTTAATTAATTAATGCAGCTACAAGACGGCCACTCTTTACGTGTCATTAGATTGTACTAATGGAATCAATCGTTTATTAGGGTTAAGTGTCTTTGTATACCAAGATCATCATTGATGTGTGTTTTTTTTTTTAATTTGAAATACAACTTACCTATTTTTTTTTTTTTTTAAAAAACACTTTTTTCAATTAAGAAATCAGTACCGGTGTTTTTTTTTTTTTTTCCATACAAGATATATCATTGCATTGATCTCACCTTTTTCGAAGATCATTCATGAAGACACGATTTATAAGTTGAGAAATGCTAGTATCACTCTCTTTGTCACTTTCATTCATTGTTTGATACGGGACTGTATTAACATAATATTATATATATATATATATTGTTAGGGTTAAAATCAACACCATAATCATTACCATACACGTGGACGACATTTGGATAAGAAGATCAACTCTAATCGACTGAAATCAACTGGAGACTAGATCGACTCAAGACGATTGGAGAAGACTGACGATAGGAGGAGTGTAGGGACTACTGTCGATATTTAAGGAAGTAGATTCCTTGGACGCCGTGAAGATTATCTTAGCCAAATCCAACATTAAAGGGTTGAATCTGATCAATAATAAAGATGAAATATCCCAAGAAGCTAATATGGAAATGAGGAAAGGGAAAGTTAACCGAAGAAAAAGGAAAACTATCCAATTTGAAAGAAAAGAAAATTAGAAGGCTATCTCCTATAAATAGGGGATGAGAATCATGACCAAGACATTTCAGAATCCTCATATTACGTTTTCTCTCTAGACTCTCTCATCTTATTTCTCCAATTCTCACAAAGGCATTGTAATTTTACTATTTTCATTACATAGTGAAATCTTCGAGAACCTACAATGGACGTACCCTGAAAGGGAACCACTATAAATTGATGTGTCTATTTATTTTTCAACACTTCACATTCCCGTTCTAACAATCTACGACTCAAATCAACTCCAATTGACTCACCAAAGTGATCTACTAACGGGAACGGTCATTGACCTTCTAAACAAATTTAATTATAGAATCTGACCTCTACATATATATATGGACTTGTTTTTAATAATTACGTTTTCATATTAAATATGAAAATTTGATGATGTGGCGTGAGAAAAATATAGTTTCATTAATTATTATTAATTTTTTTATTAACTATCTAATTTATTATAACCGTCAAATTAATATTTTACAACTAAAATAACAATATTTATTAATGAGTAAATATTAAAGTAACTATTAAAACTACACCTATATCTATATATAGTGTCGGTGTGCGTGCGTAATTATTAATTATGGTTTCTTGACCTTTCTTTTAAAGCTGAAATCATGGTTCAGTTTCATTATTAATTTATATACGTCATTCCCATTTATTATTTTACGATGAAATAATAAATTCTAAATTTCCACTACTGCTGCCCTTTTTCTCTCTATATAAGGACATGCACGTATGCATGGTGGAGACGTACTAGCCAAAAGCATCTGCACTAATGGCATCCCGAGTCCCACTCATCTTCTTTAGCCAGGTCCTAATTATAATTCTTGTTCTTGGTTATGCAGCTACAAGCAGTGTAGCTCAAAACATACCAAGTGAGTACGACACCGTTTTCCTCAACAGAAGCAATTTCCCAACTGGTTTCATCTTCGGAACAGCTTCATCAGCTTATCAGGTAATGCAATAAGTAGCCTTAATCAAGGCTTTTTCACATTCTGTGTTCAGAACAATATATACTCTTAATTTTATCTTTATGGCTTTTTTCTATCAACTTTTTGAGTATACACACACACACACTATAATATGAAGAAGTTATGTACATGCGCATCTGAGTATGTGAGTTTGATCAGTATGAAGGTGCTGTGAAAGAAGGTGGTAGAACACAAAGTAGCTGGGATGCTTACACTCACCAACACAAAGGTTCTTTCTGTGCTTTCTCTATTTCTGTTTCATTGATTGTCTCTTTTTTTTTTCTTTTTTTTTTTCTGCAAAATAACCATATTCAAAAGATATTTTCGTCTCTTAGCTTCTAGATATACGTGTGTTTGTTTCCATCGGCAAGTTGCTGCACGTATAGAGATCTGAAATTTTCAAAAAGCTGATACGAATCTGTATCTAAATAATGGATTTCTCAAGAAAAGTACTAAAACAATAATATTAAAAACTAGGCGCTTTCAATGTTAGAATATAATAACCGGGCATAATCCCATCAAAATAAAAGATAATATAAAACTTAGGGTACATATATATTGTATTATTTTTATGTTTACGAATGTTATTTCTGGTCAAAATCCTAAAAAAAATATATATGCAAACTAAAATAATCTAATAAGGCATGAACTAACAGTCTCTTATATGAGCTTTCACAGTTTATTCAAAAAAAAAAATCTAATAAAGTTTAACCGTTAACAATAGCAGTAGTCTAACTACATGCAGGGTATTTTTCATCTGATTTTACCATAAACATCTCCTTAATAATAATAATAATATATATATAGGTGATAGATATATAGACTGCAGCCGGAAAGAACGAACAATAAATTAACAATAAGCTGGATGTAATTTGTGTAGTTGATTCAAACTAAGTATTGTTATCTTGCTTTACTCAGGGTATTAACACATTAATATATATACACACACACGTGCAGATATACATATATTTTGCGGATTCTATGTGTGTTATATATACGTGCACATATGCATATCCTGATCAGTAGAAATTTATGTTGTGCATTGCAGAAAGGATATTGGACGGGAGCAACGGGGATGTAGCAAGTGATGAATACCATCGTTACAAGGTGAAACAAAACATATGATGATGCTGATGATATCACAACAACAACAACAACAATTATAAAATGATAATAATGACGGCGTCGTTTTAAAAATAGGCTTATAAATTTTCTATTTTAGTGTTTGAACTATAGTCCATGTTCTATTTTAGTTCCTAATTTTTAAAATATTGTTATACAGTAAGCTCCTGATTTATCAAGTTGTCCAAAAGTAATCCGTTCATTCATCGACTCTTGAACTCTCAATGGAAAAATATACAAATTTCATTCTTAAGATTCATGTCCTAACACGTAACCTGTAAATTTAACCCCTAATAAGTGGCATATGATCCTCATGTATCTTTTCGATCTATAAAGATTTTTAATAGTAGGATGCACCAAAGAACTAATTGTATGGACGATATATATATATATATATATATATATATTATATAATGAATTATGGACTGATTCTGCGATTTTTTAGAAGGGATCAAAACGAAATTCGGTTTATAGTTTGGAGACTATACTAAGATTATTCTAAAAACAAACGAGTGTAAGAATTGAATAAAACTTTGTGGTTAAATCATCTTGTTACTGAATATACACAATTATACGTCATACAGGAAGATGTGGGGATTATGAAGGACATGAATACAGATGCTTATAGGTTCTCTATCTCATGGAACAGATTGCTGCCAAGTAAGTTCGTTGTTTTCAACCATCTTTATTATGTAATACAGTAAATTTGAGATACAGATTATAACCCCTAGTTCTGTTTAAAGTACTTATAATACACACCCACATTTACTAGTTGTTTTTTCAGCTAAATGTGCGTGTTTATGTGTGCTATATATTACTATATTTAATTACTTTGATCAGATGGAACAATAAATGGGGGTGTGAACAAGGAAGGAATCCAGTACTACAACAATCTTATCGACGAACTCCATGCCAAAGGTGATGAGTAGTTAATATGTCCTTTATATATCAATATTCAAACGCCAGTACTGTATTATACATTATCCTAAATCATAATGAAATCTTAATTGCATATGTTTTGCTTCTAATATTTTAATATATATAGGTTTGACACCCTTTGTGACTATCTTTCATTGGGATATTCCACAAATTCTAGAGAAAGAGTATGGTGGTTTCTTAAGCCCCCGCGTTGTGTAAGTCTTTTAAACCAAAATATGCATGCAGTGCAAGCACAATATTTATCGTCGATTCATATCTTTCATGGGTTTTTTATTTTTTTATTTTTTATTGTACAAAATATATACAGGGGCCATTTTAAGGACTATGCAGACCTTTGCTTTAAGGAATTTGGAGACAAAGTTAAGCACTGGATCACCATAAATGAGCCATATACCTACGCCGCGGGTGGTTATGTAAACGGGTTTTTTGCACCGGGACGGTGTTCCGCATGGCAAAACCTAAACTGCACCGGCGGAGATTCAGGAACAGAACCATATTTGGTGAGCCACCATATGCTCCTATCTCATGCCGCAGCAGTCAAAGTATACAGAGACAAGTATCAGGTGATCTCATATATAATAAATCTGATCATGATCTCCATTCTATTAGCTGATAAATAATGATAAGGGAAATTAAGTTGAACATTGGAGATTCAAAATCATTTGATTACAAATACTAACGAAAGTTGCTAAAAAACTATTGTGAGTAGGCATCTCAAAAAGGCGTGATAGGCATAACGCATGTCACCAGTTGGTATGTGCCGTATGCCGACGTACATCATCACCTCAATGCTGCGTCAAGATCCCTTGATTTCGCTTTCGGATGGTATTAGCCAATACGAGACATAACGAACTATTTTTAGTACTATATATGAGTTCAGTAATAGGGATTTTAATTAATTTTATTTAATGTTTCTTATTGCAGGTATATGGACCCTTTGGTACATGGTCACTATCCGCATACCATGCGAGTTCTAGTTGGAAAGCGATTACCTAAGTTCACCAAAGAGGAATCCAAACTTGTTAAAGGGTCATATGACTTTATAGGAGTAAACTACTATACTAGTAACTATGCTGCTTATGCGCCGAATCACAATAAATTGGAAGTCAGCTATACTACAGACTCCCGTACAAACCAGACAAGTATGTATGATATTCGGTTAATTAACTTAATTAGTTTAGGCAGCCGAGATAAGGGATTATTATTTCCAATTTTTTTTTCTTTTTTATTAACGGTGAGAGTGGATAACTAATATCAGATCCCAACTAGTTTGGCACCCACTAAGTAGATCATTATCCTAGACCAAATCTCTTACTCGAATATTATGAAAATAAGAAAAAGAAATTAATTACAAGTGTAAAGATCTGGCCAAAAGGCCTAAAAAAGAATTACCAAAGAAACAACTAAAAAAAAAAAAAAAGAATGAGATAGTGGCTTCAAAAGAAAGATTATAATTTCTAATTCTAATAATACAAAATCTTCTTAATTTTGACCGATATTATTTTCTTGTGACAGCCGAAAAGAATGGTGTCCCCATTGGTGAACAGGTGCGTACATGTAACAATTATAGATATTTATTTATTAATTATATACTCGAGTATTCTTGATGAGCACTATTATTGTGAAGCAATTTGGACCTTATAATTCATAATTTTCTTCGTAATATGGCAATATTGTAGGCCACTGGTTCTAGCTGGCTCTATGTTTATCCGCAAGGCTTTTATGATCTTTTGAACTATACGAAGACAAAGTACAACAATCCACTAATTTACGTCACTGAGAACGGTAATATTGAACAATTTGAACAAGCTAGTTTTTTTATTATTTACATTAATAATGCATGCATGAATTCTACATATATGTAAATTAATTATTCGAGTGATTAATTTTCTAATTCTTGTTAATTACATGATCTGTACAGGCATTAGTGAGAAGAATGATCCCACATTAACTCTTAAACAAGCCCTTAATGACACCCAAAGAATTGATTACCACTTCCGCCATCTCACTAAGCTTCGAGAAGCGATCAGGTTAGTCCTAAACACCGTTGATTAATTTTCTTCACTAATTAAACACGTGATTTTGATATCGATAAATTTTTTATTTGTTCAGGGACGGTGTCAATGTGAAAGGATACTTTGCATGGTCATTGCTGGACAACTTTGAATGGGGTTGGGGTTACACGGTTCGTTTTGGCATTAATTATGTGGATTTCGACGATGGGCAGAAAAGATACCCAAAACTCTCAGCACATTGGTTTACGAGATTCCTCAAGAAATAATAAACTACTACACTGATCTGATGGGAGTTATTTGAAGCGTCGTTTTATGTGTCGTAACAATTGTAGTTTTTTGTTCAGCTAGAAACGATCTGTCATTTAGTTTTTTTTTTTTTTATTGTGTTGTCGTTATGTGTGTTGTGCGACAAGCCGTTTTGATGAAACGGACCGCACACCCTTTCCCTTGTCAGCTAGTTTTTTTTTTTTTCCCCCCTATTTTGTGGAGGGCTAGAGTATTTGGCTGCTTTGCAGAAGCTTGTTGCTCTGAGAATGGTTGATTAATGCTATAAAATTGGAATAAATTGAAACCTTGAATCTCTGTCTGCGCATTTTATTTTGTTAATTTTTCATCACATAGATTCTCATTTACATCCAAGAACAATATTTTTGTTGGTAATATTGGAATTTTTTCCCTTATTAATTATGAGCAGTTAGTGATGCATGTGAGTATAATAATGTGATCATTGTAAAAACAAGCCTTCATCACCGTTGTTAGATCTGAATTTACGATTGGTGTCATAAATTGTGTTGGAACGTAGTCTGGAACACTGTAAATTAATTAAATTCCGAATAAATTATACTCAGTTACTCAGGAAAAATAAAGTACAAAAAATAAAGAAACACATAATATGGTATCATTGAGTCAGTTATTATATGTTACCACATAACAGTATTGACTCCTTAGATATGCACGCGTGAATATGTATCTAAAGATAGTAAAGAATGTTATTTTAATTAGCTAACTTTCTTGCATAATTACTAAATTAATATGTTGATTAGTTGCTGTTTGAAACTCATAAAAAAACATATCAAGCTTGGAGCTCTTGATCAGTTTCTACAAGGCTTGGATTCGGGTAGTTGTGGTTGACATAGCCAGTAACCAATTTTTTGATGTTGCCCCACATGACGAGGCCTGCATAAGGGTGGTCTTCAATTGTGAGCTTTAGGCCAAGTGAGGAACTAGGATTCCCAACAGCGATCCCCCTACAGCCAAAGTTTAAAAAAAAAATCCGAAAAGTACTATAATTAAGTAGTACTACTTATAATTTTCCTCCTATAGCTAGTTATAATTTGTTTCCTGTTGCATAATGAAGAATCGTCCAATGTTTTGAAATTATAAAGCTGCTAATGAGATCTGCTGTAGTGCTTGTAAATCGATCGCGGCTAAGCTTAAATCGAGTGCTTGCAAGGTGTAGATTTAGTCTCGACAGTGCCATCTGCGCTGATGAGGGGTTTAGGTAGGGTTTTGGGTGGGGGTACTTTTATGTTCGATCCCGTATTTGATCTATCTTTATTTTTTATTTATAATGACAAAGAAAAAATTGGATATGTATTCTAAAGGGCAAAAAAAAAGAGCATTTTTAATTAATATCAAAACAGTGCACTTGATATAAGGAAGTATAAATCTTCAAGTCCCATCCTAGATAATTTTAGTACGCAGAGAGTTTAATTCTGAAAATCAGACTTTTTGTATATGTTACAAAAGATCAGATTTTCTCCAGGTATACCAGTGCACTCGCTATATTAATGGTACT